TACATTTAAAGGTGCACTCGACCCACCCCAACATGGAATACCAGCTTGTGCCATGGGAGGTGACCTCATCCTCTCTCATTCCATTTTCAGGGACCTTAGAACCAGTGGATGAGGAAACCATCAGCCCAAAAGCCTAGGAAGGCATGTCCTTGGACTTACTTTTCTTCAAGCCAGCAACGTCTGTGTGTGTCTGTCTTTTGAGTGCTGGAGATTCTGGGCAAATACCTTCATTCTAGATACAATCACTTGCTCCAACTCCAAATCTCACTAGTTCAGATCCAAATTCCTCTCCTAGCAGTGTTTCTAAATCTCAAAAGCAGTACTAAGTATTTCTGACATGCACAGCTAGTTCCTTTTTTATGTCAGAAGCACTAACTTTGTGTCCCTCATCTGGGTGTGGATAGCTATTGTGAAATTTACTGAACAAGCAGTGATGGCCTCACAGAGTCTTTTACAGGAAAATAATGGTGGTTATTACCACTGTCAGTGGTATATCAGTGTATAGAGTGCATATCAGTGGAGATCAGTGGTTGAGGATTTACTGCACATCAGACTCTGCTTAAGGTCTTTATATACATAAACTATTTTAAAGGCATTTAAGATCATTTGAAAAGCCCTTTTTCACAATTTCACACATTTTCACTTGTTCCTCTTGCCTCCCTAGAGAACTGTGTGTTGCCATTCTATGCACAATTTAAATGTATTGTTTACATGAAATTCCCCCATTAGAGAGGAATGTCTGTAAAATGGCAAGAAGTTGGTTACATAGCAATAATTAATATGGCACTTTCCATATGAAAGAGGAATCTGGTATCATAGAAAGAGCAGAGCCTGTGACTAAGACATACTCAATACCAATCATTTTTTTGCATGACTTTATTTCTCTGAACCTAGGATTCCTCATTTGTAATATAAAATCAATACTTATGTTATATGGAGGAGGAAAGCAAAGTCATTTTCAGTTCTCTTTCATTCAATGTTTTCTTAGAAAAATTTACTATGAACCAAGCAGTGTGCTATGCTGCAGATAAAACTGTAAAAAGTGATAGAGAGCCTGCCTTCAATGAGCTAATAGATTATGAAGCATACAGACAAGTAAACATACCATCATAATCCAGGATAGTCAGTTTTCTGCAAGGTAATGAAGAGTATTCTAAGAGAGCTCATAGGAGGATCAATTAATCCAATCTTGGTGATGCAAAGGAAACTTTCTGGAGCAGGGGACGTCTAACTGGAGACTTGTTGAATGTGTAAGAGACAGACAAATGAAAGGAGAGTTATTGAAAGGAGAATAAAAAGTTTCCAGAAAGAGTCAACAGAATGGGCGAAGTTAAAACTCAGATCCACTTCCTCGAAGACAAAAAGGTAAATGTTTTTATCTGGGATTTTAGGCAGAGGAGGGGCTGCATTTGGTCTTGGGGGCTGAGGTTTTGAGAATCTTCTGCATGGGCGCGACTGTCTTTCATATTTCTTTATGGATCACATGCAAGTTCGGGGGGTGCTATGTGTTTCATGTGATGAATTTTTAGTCAGTGATGTCAAAAGTTTACAATCTGACATTTTAGCTTCTCAATGCTCCTGTGCGATGTGCGATGCTTAGTCAGATGTGGGGTGCTGTCAGCATGAGCAGCCCTCCTGCTGTTCTGAAAAGCAAGGTCTGAAACTTTGGTAATTTTGTTTCCCATTTTAACCTGTGTGTACAAGGCAGGACTGCACCTAATCCAGGGAAATTGTCACTCTTTCATCCTCAGTTTCATTATGCTTTAATAATAAATCTAAACTAGCTAAGAGTAATAACAAGTCTAAACGCTCCTTTTGAAGACTTTAAAAAGTCTCAAAAGAATCAACCTGGATGGCATATTTAAATACCTGCCAGAAATAAAGTGCAATATACTTCGAAGAAAGACAATTTGAGTACTCAACTAATAAAAACGACAATATCCAGCATGCAATCAAAAATTATTATACACGCCAAGCACCAGAAAAATGGCAATAACCAGAAGAAAAGTCAATCAATACAAACAGACCAATAAATTACTGAGAAATTTCAAAGGACATGATCTGAAATGCAGGCCATCTGCTTTAAAAGTTAGAATCATCACACCTTACTCAAATAGCCTGGATGTTCACATAAATTGTTACATCTAAAAACGCACTACTCTTAGATTGCTTATGTAAATATGAAGACAAAAAGGTTCATGGATGCAAAAATTTTCACCCAAAGATGACATTCGCTGGCCATTTAAAATAAATCCAAAGTAACAGCTCAGCAAATATGAGTGCAGGGTATTTTACAAAATCCAAGAGATAACAAAGGATCAGGTGATGTAGGGTGTAGTAGGGCTTAGTATCAGCTTTGGCTTTTATTATGAATTAGAGAATAAGCCACTGGAGGATTTTTTCCAGTCATTGAACTACCTGAATAGTTCTATTTTAATTTCTTTATATATTTAAAACTCCAGGGGTTGGCCCAACTCCAGGTACACCTTGACTCAGAGATTCAACTGACGTTGTTAGGAACACATCTTTCCTTTGGAACCTCTCAGTTCTGCTCTCCTCTGTAAGCATTTGTCTCTGATAGAATTCAAACAGTAGCATGAAGTCTGCTTATAGCAGCAGATTTACATTTGCACAAGCCCAACTGCAAAGAGAAAAGAGGCAGACTTTCTTTCCTGGTCAGTGAAGCAGAAATGCTGGGATTAGCTTTGACTGGAAATGTCAGTCATTCATATAATTTTCTTAATTCACAAGGCTAAGTGATATAAAAACCAGTCACTCTAGGTGGGTTAATGTAATATTGTCATTGCCCAGATCTAGGAGAAGTTGGGGGTAGAGTCAACATAAATTGGGAGTATGGGAGTGGTAGTTTCTTAGAGAAAATTCAGGCCACGACTATCAGAAAAAATGGCAATAAATGCTATGTACCAAAAGCTGTAAAATATAAATGAAGTATTGGAGAAAAAATAATAAGTAAGGAAGGGAAAATGGGCAAATTACCTGATTACACATTTCTTCAAAGAAGATGAAAAATGGCCAACAGATATATGAAGAGGCACTCAACATCACTAATCATCAGAGATACGCAGATCAAAACCACAATGGAGGGGCCAGCTTGGTGGCCAAGCCGTTAAGTTCACTTGCTCCCCTTGGGTGACCTGGGGTTTTGCTGGTTCAGATCCCGGGCACAGACATGGCACCGCTGGTCAGGCTACATTGAGGTGGCATCCCACATACCACAACAAGAAGGCCCCACAACTAGAAAAATATACAACTGCATACTGGTGCGATTTGGTGAGAAAAAGCAGGGGAAAAAAAGAAGATTGGCAACCGTTGTTAGCTCAGGTGCCAATCTTTAAAAAAAAACACACAATAAAATATCACCTCATACCTGCTGGAGTGGCTGTTGTCAAAAAGACAAGAGAGGGGGCCAGCCCTGTGGCACGGTGGTTAAGTCTGCAAACTCTGCTTCGGCCGCCCAGGTTCGTGGGTTGGGATCCCAGACATGGACCTACACCACTCATCAGCCTTGCTGTGATGGTGACACACATACAAAGTAGAGGAATATTGGCACAGATGTTAGCTCAGGGCTAGACTTCCCCAAGCAAGCAACAAAAAAGAAAGAGAGTGAGAAAGATTGGCTACAGTTGTCAGCTCAGGGAAAATCTCTCCTCAGGACAAAAAACAAAGACAAGAGATACTAAGTTTTGATGAGGTTGTGAAGAAGAGGGAACATTTGTACACTGTTGTTGGGAATGTAAATTGGTACAGCCATTAGAGAAAAGTGTATGTTCATTCTCAAATAATTAAAAATAGAGCTACCATATGATCCAGCAATCTCAATTCTTGGTACATATTCAAAGGAAATGAAATCACTATCTAGAAGAGATATCAGCATTCCCATGTTCAGTGTAGCCTTATTCACAATAGCCAAGATATGGAATCAACCCAAGGGTCTGTCAACTGATGAAGGAGGATATCCTGGAGGATAGTACGCTAAGTGAAATAAACCAGACACAGAAAGACAAATACTCTATGATCTCATTTAAATGTGGAATCTAAAGAAGTCATACTCATAAAAGCGGAGAGTAGAATGGTAGTTCCCAGGGGCTGGGGGGTGAGGGAAATGGAGAGATGTTGGTCAGTTCAGTCAGAAGAATAAGTTCTAGAGATCTAATGTACAGCGTGTTGGCTATAGTTAATAATACTGTATTTTATACTTGAAATTTGCTAAGAGAGTTTATCTTAAGTGTTTTCATCAAAACAATAAAAGCCAATTATGTGAGGTGATGGATATGTGGTAATCATTTCACAATGAATACCTACATCAAAACATCATGTTGTATACCTTAAATACTTACAATTTTTATTGCTCTATGATACCTCAATAAAGCTGGAAAAAACTGAAACCAAAAAAAGTCTGTAAAAATGCAAAGATTTGTTCTTTTCTCCTATCATAATAAAATTACCACTTCCTCAGAAAGAACTTTCCTGGTTACTCTTTCTAATGTACCACACTCCCCCACCAATACCACCAGCTATTCTCTAGCCCATTAACTTGCATGTAGGTTCTAACAACATGTGGAAATATTTTGACTAATTACATATGTGTTCAATTATGCCCTGCCCTATGAGTTTAACTGACATGACACGAAGGATGTCATATCTCTTGTGCACCACTATATTCTCATTTGCTTAAAACAATACCTACTCATCATAGGCACTTTATAAACATGTGTTGAATAGAATGATAATGAATTGGTATTACATATATACAAATACATATACATGTACATATATTCATGTATGCGTCTAAATTAAACCTAAGCCTCAGTATTTGCCAATGAGAGTAATGGTTGCTCTGCCTATATTGTATCAAGCAATTATCACAGGTCTATGAGCTAGGTGATATTATCACTACTTTACTGAAGAGCAACATGAAGTACCGAGAAATGTTATTGTATAGCAATGGCCACTTGGTTAGCAAATGAGAGAAATGGATATTCATTGTTTCTAATTCTGTTTAATTTATTTTTGCTCTGTAATAAGTCAAATGTATTTAATGAACAAACAGTAAATACCATGTGTTGTTCTATCACATATATGGCACTGGATACAAATTTGATTAGGATATAACCCTGCCCTGTAGGAAAGAGAATGAGAGAGATAGGGAAGGAGAGGAAGGTGAAGAGCGAGAGAGAAAAAATAAAAGTTGAATCTGATCCGTGATATGATTTCTATTCTATGTATATTTACACGCAAATAATGGTTTGTGCACATGCAAGGACTGACTGTGCTATTCGAAGTTATTTTCAATAGGAGAAGGAAAAGGGAAGAGAAGGAAAAGCCACGCATCTCAACTTTCTAAATGTTAAAATACCTTGTATTGCCAAAGGCAGGAAGAGAAAGTCACACAAGAGGGAGAAGTATTGACCAAGGAAGCAGAAATATGTAGTCTGCATGGAGGCCTCATTCAGCAATATCTTTTTGCCCTTATTCTGCCAAATCTTATTTACCACCTTATGTCCTTCTATAAAAGTCCTGAAGCTGGATGAAAAACTTTCAGGTCCTATTGACTTTTACATTTATTTAATTTCTGCTATTGATGATAAAGAGCCAGCGAAATGAGCTCTGGGGAGAAAACGAGAACATATTTCTGAATTTTATATAGATAAATATATTAAAGTCAGAGTTGGATTCTGTTACTTTCCCAAGTGGGGTTCTTGCATAACTGTCAAGAAAGGTTTTCTGGAACATTTCCCTGTTGATCTGTTGGTGGCATCAAATATCCTGTAACTGGTGCAGGAGATGCTGTTTATGCCACGTGAGGATTTGATGAAGCAATGAACACAACCTGTGGAATCAATCAGAATGCCATAGGTGAGTCAACAAATAACCTTGGGGTTTGCATTACCTGTCTACACAATGTCACCATCATCAGAGTCTACAATTTCTTCTCTGAATTCAGTCTCAACATCAATTTTCTGGGTTTTTCAGGCATTCTTTAGATGAGGCTAGATCTAGGAAAAACACTCAGTGATAGCTCTTGGCCTGAGATCTTGATTGCTGTTACTGTGGCCTTGCAAGTAGATCAATCATACATGTGGATGATGGTGCTCAACACGTCGGGTAAACCCAAGTGTTGTGGAAAATACAGAGCTCTTCTTCCAAACCTGGTCGTTCATGCTGATGGCAACAACCTATCCAAATCACTGATTTGCTGAACATGAGTAAAGCATTGCAAAAAACCACATTGACCCAAAATAGGAGGAATCATTAGGAAACTAAGGAAAATGCTGGTTCTTCTTCCACAAACTCAGTGTGAAATGGAGTGTATGTGGCGGGGAGATCCAGAAAGAGATAAAGACTTAAGCATTATATGCTCCAAAGCCATTGCTTTTCTTGATTGACACTTTCCAGTTCTGTAACCAGTGGAATTAGGGAAAGCAAAACTTCTCAGCTCTGTAACTAATCTAGGAGCAGAAGGCAACAGTAGCCTAGATATTACGATCTGAGCATTACTAAGGAGTTTACTGCCTGGTTCAAATGTTTCATGTAATGAAAAAAATGCTGCACTTAATTAAGTTACAAAATCATTGGGAATTGTTGAGAAACTCTAGCTTCTAGGATCTTATAATGCAAGAGTCCAACAATAAAGTTCATTTGATTTAGTCAATCTCTTTTCTGTGGGGAACGGCTGTAGGGTGGGGGATGTAGTCTAGCATGGAAGCCCCAAAAGAAAGTAGTGGAGGGGCCGGCTCCGTGGCCGAGGGGTTAAGTTTGTGTGCTCCATTGCAGCGGCCCAGGGTTCGGATCCTGGGCGCGGACATGGCACCGCTTGTCAGGCCACGTTGAGCTGGCGTCCCACATCCCACAACTAGAAGGATCTGCAACTAAGATATACAACTGTGTATGGGGGGGTTTGGGAGATAAAGCAGGAAAAAAAAAAAAAAAAGACTGGCAACAGTTGTTAGCCCAGGTGCCAATCCTTAAAAAAATAAAAAAGAAGAAGAAGAAGATTGACAACAGTTGTTAGCCTAGGTGCCAATCTTTAAAAAAAAAAAGAAAGTAGTGGAAAAATAATCTGATCAAACTATTATTATTTTATGATTTGGTTTTGGCTTCTGTCTGACCCAGGCCTTTGGGTAGTGAAACTAATGAGCACCTCCTAGGTTTTAACATCCATTTTCTCACCCTGGAACCCTCAGTTCTTGGAAGATATCCTGTTCTAGTCTTCCTAGTACCTCTTGGTCTCTTCTTTCCTCCCATTTCCCAATCCTCTCCAGGTGACATCCTTTCTGCTCAGCAGCCAGGAGGGTCTGCAGGTCTCAGGGTGAGAGAATGGGCAGGTGTGCACACACTCACAGAGAATTGCGAAACCCTGACTTTCTGCAGCAGGAGGCTGCAATAATAGGATAATGGAGCAGCATCTGGCACTGCCTGGGGACCTCTCCATTGTAAAATATTCTGATCCTAAGTAAGAAGGGAGGCCCTTCGAAGGAGTAAGGATGAAGAAAAATAGCTTTACTTTATCCATTGTGATAGGCAGAATTCTAAGATGGCACCCGGTCACCCATGCTCCTGCATGATTCCCTCTGCTAGAGTATGGGTGAGACCTCTGTATTTGATGGGATATCAATCCTGTGAGTAAGTTAGTAATCAGTTGACTGTGAGTTTACCAAAAAGGATACTATTCTGGATGCACATGATCTAATGATGGGAACATTTTAAAAAGCCTTAAAGCAACAGAGACTTTTGCTCTCCTGGAGGCCTCAATGTAGAAGTAATTTGTGATGAGTTCCACAGCTGAGAGGAAATAAATTCTGCCATTTGAGCATGGAAGGGGACCAGAGGCCTCAGCTGAGACTACAGCCTCAGCCCACTCCTCGATTACAGCCTTATAAATCCTGAGCAGAGAACCCAGCTAAGCCATGCCCAAACTGAGAGAAGCTGTAGAAACTGAGAGATAATAAATGTAGGTTGCTTTATAACTCTATGTTTGAGCAATTTATTACACAGTACTAGAAAATGAAGGCAGGTATCTTCAAGGCAAGACTGATACTCACCTTACCACGATTACAACAGATTATTTTGTACCCGATGATAGAGAGGGACACAGCAATGCAGAACTCCAGCACACTTAAAATGAGCACCATACCATCCATACCCTAAGAACAAATTCATAACAAAGGAACATGAGGAATAGAGATGATGAGTTCAAATCATTGACCACTGATTACAATACTAAAAGAGAAGAACCATTGGCCAGAGGTCAGAAAAACTGACTCCTAATTGCAGACATACACTTATTAGTTCTGAGCCTGCTGAATGTCATTTATCCTCTCACTTTTTCACCAATAAAATTATCATTTTTTCCCTGTCCTCTACTTTCAGTGCTATTGTAGATATAGAATATGAAATGCTATAAAAGGGGGGAAAGGATCATAAAGATAATTATCAACTTAGTTCTTTCAAAACTAGGAATTCCATATAGTTGACACAATAATATGATCTCATATCTTAGTAATTGTAGGTGGAGTGATAATTTTAGGCAGAATAACAATAAGCCAAAGAAGTCCACATCCTAGTCCCCAGAACCAGTGAATATTTCAAGTTACAGGGAAAAGGAGAATTAAGTTTGTAGATGGAACTAAGGTTAATAGCTGACCATGAGATGGAGGGGTTTTATGGATTACGCAGTGAGCACAAAATAACTACAGAACACTTATAAGTGGAAGCAGGAGCTGGAAACCTAAGGGAAGTAAATTATTTTAGCAAAGTCACTGAAGGGGTGATTTTGGAGTGAATATATGGCGCTCAAGATTCTCCTAGGATTTACTAGGAATTAAGAAAAGGTAATGCGATTGATCTGCTTAAGAAGTTAGGAAGAATGCTGAGTTCCAAATTTGGGTTTGGAAAGGAGACAATAAGAGAAAGAATTAAGCAGCACAGTGAAAGACTGGAAGCTCAAATGGAGAGGAGACAACAGAAAACTCAGTGGTGTTGAGAATGGCCAATAGACTTTTTAATAATAAAGATTTCATTGTATTTTAGTCTGCTATGGGTACAGCAATATCTCTTCCTCCACGCACTTACCCAAAACTTCAAGAAGTTTCACTACCTACAAAATCTTGTGTAAGTGCTAATTTGGAGAATAAAGCAACTAGGATGCTATCTAGATGAGGGCAAGGGGCACAGAAAAGTAGTAAAATTCAGAACAGAGATTGAGAATTTGCCAAGAGCTGGACATTGAAGCAGAAAGTGCTTAATCTTGCAAGAACATCCAGAGATGGGAGGTATACTGGGTTTTTCACCATTTGTAATATAACGTTCAAGGCAATTTCCTTTATTATTAGAGAACCAGGCAACTGTATCAGGCTCCATCAGGACTCCCTGGAAGATACAGAGACTGACATCTGGGCTCCATTTTTAGAGTGGATAACAGGACATACTTACCAGTGTTTTGAAATTAAACAGGAAGAATTGAGCAAAATGCTTAGCACACTAGTTGTTACAGAGTGGATGTTCTACTACTATGAGCTTTCTTCCCACTTTCCCTTATCACATTTAGAGAAGGAACAAAGAGAGAGATGAGACATGGGCCTGACTCCTACATAAAAGATTGCCCTATTTCTCAATCAATTCTAACTTCCCAAAGTGATTCATCAATTAGATGACACTGATTGTTACTTTTGCCAGAGCCCGGGCTCCTGTGACTTGCTTCCACCACAGTATCCCATGAAAAGAGGAAGCACTAACCAGTAAAGCAGATACAAGCATGGAACAATTCTCCGAGTTCTGATGATAGTTACACAAAGGGTAAGTAACTGAGAAAACGATTATGCTGCTCAAAGTGACTAAGATCCCTGATGCAGCAAAGATAGAGCTGGTAATGTTCAGCCCTAGGCTACCTTGGACCTAGAAAGGAAGGAAAATCAATTAATCCAACAACATTCTCTGATACGTCTCCATCAATAACTTTACATTCACAACTCTTTGTCCAACCATCTTCTCTGTCTTGATTATAGCAATAGTCTCCTAACTTGTCTCTTTTGTTATAGTAATTGCAACTCCAATCTCCTGCCAAACCACAAATATCGTACTATTATTCCTACATTACAGCCTTCAGACGACTCCCATGGGCGTGTGAGCTCAACTCCAATCTCCTTAGCAGGGCTTTCAATACCCTTTACCCTTTAGCTGGACAGTCCTGTCTGTGTCCATCTCCCATCACGTTCTGTTTCAGGTGACTGACTTCTTATTTTCTCACTGTTTCTTGCCTCTCATGACTACATGCCTTTTGCATATTATCTCCCTTTGTTCTCTCTATTCCTTTTCCTGTATTCTCTTCTCTCAGTGAAGTTATAGAGGCTTTTATAAGAACTAAAATTCCTCAAGAAAGTATGAGAGGCGTAGTGTGGCTGTAGCACGAGGTAGATTTTAATGGTTATGTTTCTATCTGGAGGAGATGCTAGAGAGACAGATTGAGGTCAGATTTGGAAAAGCAATATTGATCACCTCCATAATTTGATATTTATCCTTTGAGTGAAGATAACTAAAAAATGTTCTTTATCTAGGAAAATCATTTATTGAGATCTGGGCTTTTGCCTTTTATTGGCTTTGGGAAAGACATATTGGCATGAAAGCTTTGTTTTAAATTTGCTTCTCCTTATTTAACAGCTTTATTCTGAATTTATTTAATTGAAAACTGAATCAAAATCCTTTCTGTATATAATTGGAATACATATTTTCATCAATAAGTCAATAAATATGATGCTACATCAACACTTGGTGCTACTGTCATGGGAGGCTGGATCTCAAGCTGTAGGGTTTGTTTAACCGATCCTTTGGATGTATCTTCTCATGACTTCTCTGTATTTTCATAAAGATTCTCCCAGCAAGTACTTTCCCAAATGTTCATTCTCATGTCAATAATTCTCTTATCTGACAATTTTTTATTCCAATTTTTGAGAGACCAATCCCACCAGGTAAAACTTACAATTTCTTCTGATTTTTAAAAAGTAAAATTTGTTTTCTATTCTGGAAGAATACATACATGATTAATCTTTCTTCTTTTGGAGCAAAAACTAGGAAGCATTACTCACCAGACCTCTTGTAGTTCTGGTTCCTGCTGCAATTGACAAGGACCCTGATATAAGAAACTAATAACAAGAAGAAAAATACAGGTAAAAAACTTTAAACAAATATGTAAAGGGATCACTTGCTAAAACTTATCCTCAAAAGTCACAATTATGTTAAACAGAACAATTATATTAGAAGAAACACAAAAATTTGTAAATAACGGTAGCCTTTTCCCAGAAACAACAGAGAAATTTTACTAGATGGATTCACAGGAGAATTTATCAACCCTTTCAGAAAATGTCTAACAGTGATGGCATTTAAACTGTTTAAGGGGATTGAAACATACAGAAAGCTTCTCAATTCCTGATATGAAGTAATCCTAATATGAGGCCAAATTTAACAAGATTAATATCTTATTATTAATATATAATTAAAACCTAATGATTATTTTCTTTTAAAATGACTATTAAAAGTTGTAAATAAAATAGTAGCAAAGAAAAATTTTAAATTCTATATTAGATGATATTTCTAATATACTGATTCACTTGACTCCATCAATTGGGTAATTATTTTCCATTTAGCTCAGATGATTGGAGTGAAGTCGCTGGGACTCCCTGCCTTAAGCTGTTTAACTGTTTGAGTTTCTAGGTTTGCTTTCCCTATTTGATTTCAGAAGTTTCAAAAAATCTATCTTCATACCAAAAAAGACTGATCTAATGAAGTAGCTTGATAAATTTTTTCAACAAATTTATGAATACCAAGACAGATGATTAATGTAAACTAAGTCTCTTCTGAAAAAAAATAGCAGGTCGAATCACCCATCATGTAATATAACGTGAATCAACAACAAGTGGGTATTTCTCCAAATGTCTAGTTTTTTTAGTATTGAAATGCTTTTATAATTTATGAAATTAATGAATTTAAGGAGAAAACTCAGATGCTAATTGCTATTCATGTTTACAATGTGGATAAGACAGTTAATAGCATTTGATGTTCTTATTGACTTAAACATTATTTATAAAATATGAAGAGTTGCAATTTCTATAATATGATAGAACATCTGTCTCAATCTTAAGGTTGTTATGTTTAATGGGGAAACACTGGGGTCATCTCATAAAATCAAATCAAGATAAAGATGTAGACTCTTATGTAATACTATTCTTAGTATATTCACCAAAATGGTTATATGAGAAAAATATTTGAAGCAAATGGTTATAATTACTTCTTTCTACATATAAATATGTTATACTGCAAAAATCCAAGATTATCAACTAAAAACTGCTATACACTCTAAGAAAATTCACTAAGGCACAAGGGAACATCATTATATACAGAAATTATATATATATATGCTATAAACATGTGTTTGTGTGTTTGAATATAGGAATTAATAAGAGAAATTCATTTACCATAGCAAAAAATTTATAGTTTCTGAGACAAAACGCTTAACAAAGAATATGAAAGGTACGTATAAATAAAACTTTACAATATTCCAAAAGTACACAAAAGAAAACTTGAACAGATAGACTAATGTAAGGATAATTTTATGGGATTGTGATAAAGGACATTTATCTCTACTGGAGACTAGAGGGCCAAATAGAAGAGAAATGTGTGAGTGGTTCTTGGTGTTATTCTTGTACTGCATAAGGGAGAAAAGGAGGCACTTCAAAGGTGAAGTTTTGAGATAAGGTTGAAAGCATAACTGATGGTAGCAGGAAAAAATATTCCCCCAGTTAAGCAAAGGCTCATCTAGTGGGACGCCTACAAGAGTCTGAGCAATGTCTCAATTGACAAACACAGCTCCTGCAGTTCCTGGTAATCTACTGAACATGTGTAAAGGTGTAAATTATGAAAACTGGTTTCCAAAGTGGTCTTGAAAAGGAAACGGAAAGGGAAGCAGAAACCCCAAGTGGTTAGATGCATGAAATACTGGAATTACACTGACCCTATTTGAGCTCTAATTCCCCTACCAAATAAGTGTGTGATCTTGGGCGATTTACTTAATCTCTCTAAACCCTAATTTCTTCATCCATAAAATGAGGACAATGATAAATCCTTTCTCAGAAGTTTGGGATGATTGTTTGAAATGGAATTGCACATATAAAGCACTTAGCAGAGTGCCTAGAGCACAGTAAGAATTTAATAAAAGCTACTACTGACATGAATATGATCAGATATATAAAGCATTGCACAACTGCCCAGAAGGAGACTAGCATTTGCTGTTCTTCAAAGCTTGCAACAGGCATGGGGGCGCACAAAGCCAGCTCATTATAGACTTTAATCTCTAAACTGTCTCATTTTCAACTTTGTAGATAAAGGGAAACTTGGCAGACTTGAATAGATTCCCTGAGTCTAACACACATCCAGTTCATAGATGTATTTTCCTCTTGTCAGTAGATAAACCTTGATACTTTATGCTTCATTTACACTCTCAATTTGCAGAGAAACTCTCTTGCAATTTTTTCTGGGGGGAAATTTTAAACTTTCTTAAATTTTAATTTAATTTATAGTTATTAATATTGAAATTATGAGATAAAATGTATCTAATGGAATGGTATTTGCAAAGATTTGAGACTTGACTGTAAATTGCTTGCATACAAGCCATGTATCCTCTCCTCTCTTGCTGACAAAATTCTCATTTTTTTCAGACTCCATGAGCTTCAGTGAACGCTTGCCAACCATAGAGGTGAATCTTGAGTAGCCCAAGCTAATAATGGCAAATACATGACCTTTGCCCATAGCTGGCTTAGGAATATAAAGCATTTATGCATTATAGAACGTTTATGAACAAGAAGATGTGCCAATGAGTCTGATATGCTATGCCAGCAGTCCTCAATGAGGTAACTCCTGAAAAACCAACCCTATAAATGACTAACTACCAGGCTTCTTCTTGTGGAGTAATCAATGCTTTCAATTTTTTAACCATTCTGGTTTAGATTTTTTGCTACATGGTGTTGTAATATACCCTGATACATTAATTATTTAGTCTGCCTAGCTTTCTTTGAGTTTTATGTTATTATTCACATTTATGAGAAAATTGAGTCAAAAGAGGTTGGAGATCTTTCTCAAAGTTATAGACCTACAAGAGAGGGTTAGGATATGATTCCAAAGCTCCAGGAGATTAACAACTATGTTATATTGTCTCCAACTATGTCAGACGGTATTCTGCTCACCATCACCGACCCCCAAATTGTGTACCCTGAGTACACTGTTAAAGGACGATCATAAATTCCATTAAATGACACCACAGCAGTAATCATTATTATTCCCAAGCTGAAGTTCACCAGGGCAATCAGAATCTGGACAACCTAGAAATGATGAAGAAAGTAAAAATTGATTACCTACCACAAAATTTGCTGCCAAGATACCCCCTTTCCAACCACTAAGTTACCCTTATTCTCTATCTTTTGAAATAGTCAGATGATCTTGATGATATTGTCCTGTCACTTTTCTTACATACAAAGTACTGTGTAAATATTAAGTTACTAAAATTATCTCTTGGTATATCTATCCCAATTGCCTCATTAATTTCAAGATAAAAAAGATGGTACCAGGACCTTCCCAGAGGTGCTTTATGATACCTACCTATTATGCTACTCCTACCACCACTGTTGATCTCCTTCGCACATGCTCAGACAGGAGTGATCCAGAAATTAGGAAGCAAATGTTCTAGCAAGAGAAGTAATCTAAGGAAGGAGAGTATGTACAGCAGAAGACAAAGAGAAGAGAAATATGCCATTTTCCTGGGGTCTGGGGCCTGGGGCCTGAGGACATGAGTGAGTACATGGTCCAAAATAGAGAAATTGGAGTACATTAACCCATGGAGTTCGAAAGGATCCACAGCATCATAATGACTTTGTACCATTGGCTTAAATCTTGGGCTAAAGATAATCCTCTATATTTACTGTCCTTCCACCTGCACTAAGCTGTCTTTCTTTACATCATCCATTTCTTTTAGACACATCCACCTGTGACTCCAGACAGAAATGCACAGAGCACAGAAGAAGGCTAAGAAAACTCCCCAGAGAGAGATAGTAAAAAATATGGGGCCATCAGCTATCAGGAAGTTCTGTAGATGGAACACGAGCTGCTGCACATATGTCCTTTTCTTTTGTTGCTCTTCCGTGGTGAAGTTAAATATAGTTGTCACGGATGACCCACAACCCTACAGTAGATCTGAAGTCACTATATTTTAAATACAACTAAATCAGATGCAGGAAGTAATAAAATATTGTATCATTTTTCAAGTGATAGGCTCTGCACACCAAATACTGATATTCCTAGGGCCTGCTGATGTATTATGAGGCTAGTGAGACAGAGTATTTGATGTTAGATCTGATCCCTGGTGATTCTACAACAGGATTGGTCTTCTCCCAGATCCGCTGCTGACTTACCCCGAGGACTTTGGGTTCCCCCTTCAAGAACTTCTCTGGCATCCCTAGCCATTGGTACTCGTTTTGAGAAGCATGAGGTCCTGGCTGGTAAAAACCAGCACCAGCCCCTGGTGTCGTCTGTTGCATTCCTTGCATGGTTGTCGTGGCAGCAGAAAAGATGCTATAGTAAGAAATGTAATTTAGGAAGAGGTCATGAAAATGATAGAACAACATCGGGTCTACATGCGCTTCCTCTATTACAACATCTATTAGGACATTTTTACATAATGTAATTATTCATAGACTAGCCAGGAAAGTAGAACAAGGAGAGAAGGCGAGAGACACAGAGAGAGAGAGGGAGGGAGAGAGACAGACAGAGAAAGAGAGAGAGAGAGAGACAGAGAGAGAGAGAGAAATACCCTGTGACATCAATATGTTAGAAAGTATGGAAGAGAGGGAAATGTGGATAGAATTGAGGCAAATATGCTGGGCCCCTCAAATTAGGGAAATGTCATCAAGTTCATATATCACATCTGCACTCTGATTTTATCTCTATCCCTATGTCTGCATATTCCCTTGATTACAATCATTTCCTCTTTGAGAGTCAAGTTTTTCAACAGTAATAACACATGGAATCACCTGCAGTCCAATTTCCTGCGTTTTGTAGTCTTCCTTTTCTAATCAGAGCAGAATGACATTCTCAGAGCTGGAAAATTTTCCCAGGTTCATCTTGACTAAATACAATTTATGTAATCTTGGCTTTTACCCCATAAATTTTGGACTTTGGAGGTGGAATTTATGATTCTGAAGTATATCCCTTGCACCAAGAATTTGTCTGTTGTCCCATTAAAATGTTTTAAATTAATGTTTAAATTGATAATTAATTAAAACTGACTTGCTAATGCACAGCAAGGACGTAAAATTATCTTTCTGAGACTCAAAGCACAAACACAATACTCTACTGCCACTTTCTCTCCTCAATATAGTAACCTCAATCAGGTTACGTGGAGATAGGTTTAAGTCACATGATTTTTTTTTTTTATTGAGGAAGATTAGCCCTGAGCTAATTGCTGCCAATCCTCCTCTTTTTGCTGAGGAAGACTGGCCCTGAGCTAACATCCATGCCCCTCTTCCTCTCCTTTTTTACATGTGGGACGCCTACCACAGCATGGCTTTGCCAAGCGGTACCAAGTCCGCATCCAGGATCCGAACGGCCAACACCAGGCCACTGAAGCGGAATGTGTGAAATTAACTGCTGCACCACCGGGCAGCCCCCATGTGAATATTTTTATCTGCTCTTTTGAATCCATGTTCAGATGTTGCATGGCTCTCTTCCATAAATTTTGAGGGAAGTGAAACTTGGTAAGACTCTGCCAAAGCCAATCAATTCTGATACCATTTACGCTTCATTGGTATTGATAAATGTCTCAAGGTTGGAGATGTGTGTACTTTGATTAATTCAGATTTCTATGGAAAGGATTATTAACCTGTATTTATATTCAGTTTGCCAAAGGAACTACATTATTAGTTAACTAGCAATAAAACTGACGGAGATCCAAAAAAGAGTCTATTTTAAAGATAGATAGAAAAAAAAGTCCAAAATCAAAATACAAGATTAATCATTTAAAACATTATTTTAATTTTAGTTACATATGCATTCTAAGTTCTGAAAAGTACAAAAGAGCAAATCATAAAAGAATGAGTAAAATAAAAATTAAGAAAATGATAAGAAAAATATAATTAAAAATTCATAAGCAATACATAAGGTGAAGGAGACTAAAATAGTTGAGATCAAGAAGTAAACAAGAGAATGTAACCAAAAATTCAATATTTCTTTTTCTGTTCTAAAAAATTTCTAAAATCAACACAGAGAAAGAAATTTGGAAGTGCATTTTGAAACTAGGAAATAACTAAAATCCCCATAAGTTAGATGAAATGATTGTCGAAAACAACCAAGATTGTGTGAGGATGAATTTAGGGGAAAAGTAGAGACATCATCAGAAAAAACAGGACACTACTGCCGCAGATGTTCAGAATACACTTCTCAAAGATGAGAGACTCACTGAGGTATAAAACATATATTCTTGTTTATAATCCTGAGAATATATGCACCAGTTGATAGCAGTAGTTTCTCTGGGCAAGTATAGTTCTGGGAAGTAAAAGGCATGAATAAAAGAGAAATCACATCAAAAAGCCACTTTTGTAGATGGCCATCTGTCTCTGACTAAGTCTTAGGCTGGAGTCCACAAAGAAGGAAGAAAGCATTCTTGGCCTGAGTCTCCAAGAAATCCCACAGATTAGGATCACCTGAATATATCATCACAACCAAAGATCATAAGATGCACTAAAGCCAGTCTGTGAGATTTAACCAGGAGAAACAGCAAGTGTGTCAGATGTTAGCATAATCAAATACACAGTATGTAATAAATATGGACAAAGTATTTTAAAAAATGGAATCAAAAAAGCGAGAAAGCATGGATAAAGTGCAAAAACTGACATGACACATTTAAAACATGTCATGAAAAAAGATAACGTTGACATTAAAAAAAATTTTGACCAAAGTGTTAAACAGCAAGGAACAACTGAAAGGAGAATTAGTGAACTGGAAGGTAAATCTGAAGAAATCACCCAGAAGCCATATAGAGAGAAAAGGAAATGGTCATAAAAGAATACAGGTTAAAAGATTAGAAATAAAGAGTAAAAGTTCGAGAATATGTATAATTAGAGTACTAGAAAGAGAAAATATTAACCAGAGGATGGGCAAAATTGGCAACGTTTGGCATGGTAATATATCTGTACGTTTTCTTTAACTGATGAAATACTTAAACCCACAGACACAGGTCACATAACATACACCAAGGAGTACCTTTATCAGATCTATATTGAAACACATTGTAGTGAATTTACAAGATAGCAAAGAACAAAGATGATCTTCAAAGTCGTAGAAAAGAAAAGTCAGATCACACACAAAGGAACAGCAATTAGACTGACAACAATCCAGAAAACCACAGAAAAATATTTTTCAAACAACTATAGACTTAGAATTTGTTCTGCACCAAAACTGCGCTTTAAGATCAAGGGTACAATAAAGACATTTTCAGATAAGTAAACACCTGACAGAGTTTACCAGCACAGACATTTACTAAATAAAACTTCTAAATGATGTGCTTCGAAAGTAAGGCATATAAAACCCAGAGGGATGTTCCACCATACAAGAAGGAACGGTGAGCAAAGAAACTGGTAAACATGCATGTACACACATAGTTTGCAAAAATTAAGAACAATATCTAACTTGTTAGGTTAAACATAAGGACAAAATATAAAATACTGGACCCTCCAAAAGCAAAATTTGGGATTGGAATGTCAAGGGTTGGTCTTTTAATGTCCTTGTGCTCTTTGGGTGATGGGTGAAGGAAGTAACATTAGATTTCGAGTAAGAATGAAAAACATCGAGTTACCACTCAGCATACGGAGCGGGTTGTTTAATTTTTCAGTAAAGAGAGGAAAATGTTATGACAAAACAAGTGAATGATAATTAAAATAATAAATGCAATCCATCAACTAAAAAAGCAGAAAAGGAGATGAAATGAGCAGAAAAATAAGTGAGACAAGCAGTAAGCAAAAATATGGTAGAGAGCAAGGCACCTCCAGAATTGCCGAGCGAGGGCATCTGAGAATCCTCTCCTCTTTAAAAGCAATGAGAACACTGCAAAAATTATCAAAATCAACTTTTTCAGAACTCTGGACACTAACCAAGACCTTGCTTCAATCCTGGGAGCATTTATTCAAAGAAAATGGCCGAATCTCAGTAAAAATATTGAGCATGGTCATTTTGTTTGTAGTAAAATATTCATAGCCTAGAATTCACCATTTTAACCATTTTTAAGCCTGCAGTTTTGTACTGTGGTTTTAAGCACATTTACATTTTGGTGCAAAAATTAGCATCTCCATCTCCAAAACTTTTTCAACTTTCTCAGCTGAAACTGTAGTCGTTAAATACTAACTCCACGTGTCCACCTTCCCCCAGCCCTGCGGCCACCACCATTCTACTTTCCATTTCTATGAATTTAACTACTCCAGGAACCTCACGTAAGTGAAATCATAAAATATTTGTTCTTTTGTGACTGACATTTCCCTTAACAAAATGTCTTCAAAGTTCACCTATGTTGTAGACGCACATCAAAATTTCTTTTCTTTTTAAGGCTGAATAATAATCCATTGCAGGTATAAACCACATTTTGTTTATCCAATCATCAGCCAATGTACACTTAGGTTGCATCCACCTTTTGACTCTTGTGAATGATATTGCTGTGTAAATGGATATACAATTATCTGTTCAAGTCCCTGCTTTCACTGTTTTAGGGTGTATATCCAGAAGTGAAATTGTTGGATCATATTACCATAAGGTAATTGTAAGATTAATTTTCTTAGAAATCAACATACTGTTTTCCACAGTTGTGACACTATTTTACTCCCCACCAGCAATGCACAAGGGTTACAATTTCTCCACATCCTTGCCAAACTTGTTACATTCTGGGGTTTTTTTGTTGTTTTGGGGGCTTGTTCTGACAATAGCCTTCCTAATGGGTGTGAAGTTGTATCTTACTGTGGTTTTGAGTTGCAGTTTCCTAGTGACTAGTGATGTTGAACGTCTTTTCATATGATTCTTGGCCATTTGTATATCTTCTGTGGAGAAATGTCTATTCAAGTTTTCTTCAATTTTTAATCAGTTTTTTTTGTTTTGTTTTGTTTTTTTGTTGTTGAGTTCTTTATATGCTCTGGATATCAATTCCTTATCAGATATACCATTTGCAAATATTTTCTCCATTCCATTGGTTGCCTTTTCACCCTGTTGATATTCTCCTTTTATGAACAAAAGTTTTTAGTTTTCATGAAGTCCTATTTATCTGTTTTTTTGTTGTCATTGCTTCTACTTGTGGTGTCAAATCCAAAAAAATCATTGCCAAATTTAATGTCATCAAAATTTCAATCTATGTTTTTTTCTAAGAGTTTTATAATTTAGCTTTTAGAATTGGGTCTTTGATCTATTCTGAATTGATTTTTGTACTTATATGGTGTAAGGTAAGGGTCCAACGTCAGTTTTTTGCATACAGATATCCAGTTTTCCCAACACTATGTGTTGAAAAGACTGTCCTTTCCCTGTTTAAAGATCTTAGCACC